CTCTGTAGTATCAGAGTGTAGGGCCAGAGATCACTTTGTGAAAAAGAAGCCCTAAACATTAAAACTGCTAATGGAAATGTTCTAAGCCAAGCAGATAACGTGTTGGTATGCAAGTGCATGGCTATGCCTATGAGAATCCAGCCTGTGTCCTGTCTGCATTTCAGCGTGGTCACCATGGAAATGGGAACTGGCCTGCACAGAGCCTAACAAAGGAAACCTTTAAATGAAAATAACAACACTGGATACAGACTGCCCAAGATTTCTGCTGGGGAAAATGACTTGCTTTACTTGTTGGAAGATGTAGAAACTCCCCTTTTACCTGCATTAATCCTAAAGGAAAGTACTTTATTCATACTTAGCTGTTTAGACATTAAGTCATTACACTGGCAGTTCCAGTTGTTATCCCTCATGAAAATACATTGCATGAAATACACTCAAAACCCACTTTCATTCATTCAAAATTAACAATAGGGAAGAAAGACCACAATGAATAATATTTATATAGTGGCTAGGAAGCACAATAAAAACGAGTAGCAGTACTTTTACTTCTTTAACTTCTTAAATGAAAGTTCTGTGTCACTGAATCAAAAGAAGCAAAGAACAATTTATAAATTTTTTTCAGAGTGAAGCAGCGCACAGTTAAAACTTGTTGGTAGGGCCTGGTGTTGACTTTGTCCAAATTATGCACAAATAAATATTAACTGTTAATGAGTTTAGGTGTGTGATGGTAATACCCTGTATGCTCTCTAAAATAAACATAATTTGTACAAAATACAAGTCCTGTACTGCAATATGTATGAAGCCTTGCTCCAGTGTGCAATGCTGTGAAAGGCAGAACTCCAAAAATAATATGTAGTAATGCTCCTACTAACTGCTACCTTCTACCTCCCGAAGAAGGACACACTAGAAGCAGTTTTATTTAAGAAGAGTTCACACTTGGGTCCTGCTTTCAAACCATCTCCACATTATAGACTGATTTTTAACATTAACATTACTCACAAATTTGGTAACAAAACAGCAAGGTATCAAAAGATGATCACAAAGAGCGAGAAAGGTAGAAATCAAGACTGGTGGTAAAGCTTTAAGTTGTTGTGTGTGCATTTTCACCCCAAATTCTAGCCCCATTTATTGCACTAAATGTGCAATTCACACTTTTGTTTGCTATTCAGTTATCGGTTTGGTCTGTACTGCTCTGTACATTGCCATGGACTTTTTATATATGCAATTTAACCTACTGAATTTGCAGCTTCCTTGTGGATTATCTCTACATATCTTCACTACAGGCATTTGTAGGTGACAGAAAAATTATATTTCAACACTTAAGTGAAATGAGAGATCATCCTTAGCCTCATTTGAAAAACAAAATTACTTGGCACTTTTGGATATTTAGTGATACAGCTAAAACCTTATTTTTTTCAGAATACTTAGCATATTCAAAATACAATTTCCATTTACTTCAGTCATAGCTGTGAATACACAGCAGTTTTACACATCAACATGCACTTCCACAGCCAGCTCAAGCCAGTGGATGTGACGGCTATCAGTGAAAGGGACTTTTCCAGTTTTCCTCCCTCCTCTGGCCAGGAGTTCTGACTGTCCCCTATGCCAGCACTAACAAAGAAATTGCTCAAGTGAGCAGGATCAGTTTAGCTCATCTCCAAAATTGACCTGGCTCAAAAAGGGGAAAAAATTATTCAGGCAAATGGGTGTCTGACCTCTTCCCCAGACCAAGCCACAGTGATAGCACAGAGAAACTGGTGGGAACATGCAATCAGGAGTGGATGAAATGACCTTGCAGCGTCAGCTCCACATTCAGGTCAGCTTAACCAGATCGTGAAAATGCAGCTTCAGTTTTGAGAATCCCTGGCTGAGCAAAGAGAAAGAGAGGAACACAAAAGCTCCAACCACATGTCAAAGATTTGATTTAAATGACTCGTCTGAAATTGTATTCAGCTTTTGTGGAAAAAAAAAAAAAAAGGAATGAAAGAATCCATTTTTGCAAGAAAAAAAATAATATGTATTTCTCTTCATCCTACCTTTCACTCTCATTCATTAGACAACTGTCTCATTTCAAAACTAAACAAGGCTGGAGTTCCAGCTCCTTCTCTGCTCATACTATCTTCCTCTGTCCATAGGCAGTGACAGCACGATGCATTAATATGTGGGAGACAAATACATGTGGCTAACCTACCTCAAGCACTTCATAATTTTTGCATATTAAATATCATTATCACAATTTTCATCCCAGTTTAACAAAAATTAACCAAAGAAAAAGAGTCTGCTAGTAGGGTTTTCTATCCCTCTCTACAGCTTTACAGCCCATTGCTAAAAAGGTCCCATCACTGGAAATTCTCTATTTTATCCAAACTTTTCAAAGAAATACACACTCTCCCCAATTTCAGATAGGGCTGTTTTCTCCTTCAGGCTGTCTGTGTCCTGCAGAGGGAATTCATAGCCCTCAAGTGGTACACCTGTGGCCCAAAAAGCATAACCCTTATTTTGCTGCAATTTTTCACTTCAGAATTAGAGTTCAAGGAATGTGTACTTCACAGTGAGGAGATGTTAAGAATGTGTTACAGTCGAGTCATTCATGTCCTGGGTTGCTGGAGAAAAGTGCATGATAGGCTTCAGTGTGAAGGCCTGCTGAGATAGTACAGGTGAGGCCACCCTAAATTTTACTTCCTCCACTAGGTATGGTCCTCCAACACTATCACTTGATAATTGACGCTGAAGTGCATTATTTTCACCAAAAAGAGAACCAGCTGTTTCATCCAAAGCCCAGGAAACAGTTAAGACCATACAGTATGGACAATCAGAGGATCCATAAGCAAACTAGGAAGCAGAGTGACTCAAATAACAAGGGAGATTGCTGTAAAAATAAAAAATAACATGAGAAGACAAGAGAGAAAGTTATTGTGTTTGCAGGTGTAGACTTAAGACCTCACACAGAAAGATCTGGCCAAGGTGCACAACAAGATTCTAACATAATTTATGTTAGAATCAAGTTGATAAAAATACATTTCTTTTGAGAGCAATGCAGTTTTCCAAAGACTTGTTACTTGGCCAAATTTAGGTAGACAATGCAAATAGCACCTTCCTGCCAAATTTCAAATATCTCCTCTGAAGCATGAGGGCACTAGAGCTTTCCAAAAAAAATGTTACCAGAATTGAGCCCAAGAAAGCTACTGTATTTTCCACTGGCTTCACTCTCGGAGAGAGCTGGGCTGTTTTGGCTCTGATTTTCAAGAACAGGATAAGGAAAAAAGCTGGATGCTCAAAATGTAAATTTAAAGAACTGCGACCTGGCAAACCTGCAAACAGTGTGTAACAACAGAAAGTTTCAGGCTTTGTTGCATTGGTTGTCCCATTAAATACTTCACTTATTCCTCTCAACATACTCTACTTCTGTATGATATGCACTTTCTGGTCAACAATTAACAAGGTTAGTAGCAAAGTCATATTATCAAAAATGGTAGTTCTATTGCATATATCTTCTTCTAGCATCTATAAAGTCTTAATGACTTTACAAACACAAAAGTACACATCAATAAAGAGTAACCCACTGCTTTACTAACCGTCATTTTACTTGAATTTGGAGACACGACAACGCACTTCATGTGATCCAATTAATATGACCGATTCAATCAGAGAGATTCAATTGAGAATTATTATGGGGTGTCTACAATAATACCACCATAGTAGGACTCCAAAAACACTCTGGGAAAATGCTCCCATCCTGAAACTTTCTTTTCTTTACTACTTCTACAAGATCAAAAAGGGCTGAGTATGTATTAACTCAGTAATTGTATCCCCTAGCATCAAATGTCAGGACACACCTGAAATCAAAATTATGACAGCTTTCAGATGTATAAATTAAGATAAATCATGGATAGTGCCCAAACAAAACAGACCCATCCCACTTCTGTCAGTCTCAGTGCCAGGAGAATCCTCTTCTTACAATCCTTATCTTCTGTTTTCAGCACCGCTCTACAAACCTTTGCAAGTCCTAAGGCCCCATTTTTACATTACAGGGAATGTTAATGGTCATGGTGTGCAGTAGCCATAATCAGAAGAAGAAAGAATAGATTAGGTAAAAGTGCAGAGTGAATTTTGCCAATTGGTACTTTTCAGTATTTCTCTTTTTTAAAAAAATTACCACGTTCTTTGTGCACTGTATATCTCATCACAGGTTAATATTTTTGTATTTTATTTCATACCCTGCAGCCACACATTCCACTGTAGACTTTGCTATAGTTACTGAAAGAACAAGTTTGAACACCTCATCGGTGAAAACTCATTTTCATGCTGCCTCTTTGGTGACTAGCTAATTAAGGGTTTTTGAGAGTATAAGCAATATTTAAACTCTGAAAGTACCTGGGAATTTGCTAATGGCAAGTGATTTTGATGGCTTATAGTTCCCAGGAAAATATATGTAATGGTAATTAAGTTAGCCAAGAGAAGGAGATGGTTCATGTTTCCCTGCCCTTTTCCAAGGAGCGACATCTATCCGACAGGGGTGGTAACAGACCTAGAGGATTATTGAGAATTAGGAATAGCATTCACAATGAGAACATCATCTTCGCGTTTAAAAAGGTATAATCACCATATACCAAAAATTCACAAATCAGACTGCCTCCGTTCCCTCCATCACACACACATTCCAGCACACACACACTCCATTTACGAGAAGGTGAACTCCATGCCACTCCGGGAGTTTAACCTACTTTAAAAACGCCGCCGGTGCATCGCACTCACACACAGCCACAACCACACACATCCCTGGTGCAGGACCCGCAGGGGCGCTCGCAGATAGGTGCCCCCCGCCCATCCCTGCCCGGCCCAGCCACACTCGGAGGGGCGGCGGCCCCAGCCAGAGGCCGTCCCCACTCCGTGTCGGGCGCGGCTGACGCTTCTCGCCCGCAGGGAGACCTTCCCTCGTGCCTGCCTTCCTTTCTTTCGTCCTTCCTTCCCACAGCGGGGAGACACACAGACAGACATACCCAGAGCGAGGAGCAGCAGCGCGCTCGCAGAGCCCATGTCGCGGTGCGGTGCGAGGTCCGACCAGCGCCACTCCGCAGCTGGCCCCTTCCCAGCACGACACTGAGCGCCACCTGCTCTAAGCCGCCTCGAAATACTCCTCCTTCTCCTCCTCCTGGTTTTGCTCCTCCTCCGGCTCCGCAGGCGAGGAGGGGCCGGAGGCAGCTCTCCCCCTCTTCTACCCCCTCGCCCCGCACCCGCTGCGCTGGCTGGCAGTCTCCTACGGGGTCTGCAGAGTTGCTTCTCTCGGTACTCCCCCAGTTTCATTCCCTAGAGGAGACCCCCGCGCTCGCCCCGCCTGGCGGTGCCCGAGGCTGCCTGCTGTTTTCTCGGCTCTGCCCTGGAAGGAGGGCTCTGGGGCCGGGACACTCTCCACCCCGACCCTGGGTACCCTGAGACAACAGCGTTTTGGAGCGGTAGGGATCCCTGTTGTGAGTTTTGGAGTCAGACACGTGTAGAGTAGTCGTAAAACTTGTATTATTTAACAGCGTAGAGTGACTGTCTTCCTCAAGTATTAAATTGCACATTTGATGACAGTCTGTATCCTCTCCTTCAAATGAAATTCCTGCAGCATATTTCCCCAGGAGTGCAACAGGATCCAGGAGCCTTGCCACACAACTAATCTGAAGCTGGCAGTGATGGTGAGGATGCATTGCCTATACAAAATAGCTGCCTGAGTTGGTTTAGATGCCAGGCCCATATCCAGGGAGATGATGTGAATCAAAGCCAGTAAAAATAGGGAGGTGAGGATTTTGACCTGCTAAGAAACCAGACAGAGGTGCAAAGTGCTGTGCAGATCTCAGCCTACCTAAACTCGTCATCATTGTTTGAATACTGTATATTCAGAGTATTTGAGAAACATTAATTTTGTCCATCCCACAGTTTAATTATGAAAATCTATGGCACTACCTTTTCATATGGGATGTATTCTATTGTGCGATGAATTCTGCTGAATAATTTGAACTTCTTGGCATTAACATTGTGTAATGAAAAAGACAGTTTGGTTGGAATACTGAAATAGAAATGCTTCCTTTCTTCACTCTTTTCAGTATCTAGGTCATGGTCCTTTAGGTGTGGCACACACTGTAGCTATTGTTTCAGGAGCATTGTTTTCTCTGCTTCTTATTTCTTTTTAACATTCTGAAACTGAGCTCCAAATTAAAATGAAGAAGCCTGTCAACATTTTATATGGCCATCATGGGGTTAAAGGAAACTCCACCAGGATATTAAAATCCACTTGACGGTATTGTATCAGAGACCTGTCTTTTTATACATTACATTGATTTATGTATTTACTTTTTAGGACACCCAGGTGTATTACCCATCCTAATGCATAACCCTGTACAAGGACTCACTATGAGCAATTCCCAAGACACTCTCTTCTGAACTCTGAAGCCTTTGGTCGTCATTGCCAGGAATGACTCATGAGTTTCTCAGAACAGTCCCTGTGCTTCCTTTGCATGGTGTCACAGAAGCCCCGAAGGCACTTCAAGGTACAGCTATTGAAGGCAGAAACATCAGCTTTAGTACCGAGTGTGATCCAGTGACCAATCGGCAAATTATGATGGGAAGAGTAGCCCTAGGTGCTTCTCTTTCCATCTGCAGTAAGTGTATGCTTGTGTGTGCCACTCTGGGACAAGGAGGAAAATCTATACTTCCACAAGGAAGAAGAAGAGTACTAATTAATGGGTACTAATGAAAGGACAATAAAAGCAAACAAAGAAACAAACAAAAATCCACAGGATAGAGAAAAATGGTTTCTTAAAAATGAAATAAAGCTAGAATTCCCCTCTGCCCCACCCTAAAATAACCTCCACAAACTAATAGGTCTCAGTTTCATAAGAAACAATGTCTTTGATTCAGTTACATCATTCTAATTATAAATATACCCTAAGGATATGAAAGTTTCTTTCTCACCCAGACACAGTGGTGAAGAATAATTTCTCACACACAAAGGCTGTCTCTTAGGGTGTTGTTTCTCAGACCAATATATTTCCGTATTTATAAATAATATGCCTTGGAAGGGTAAGTACTGTGACAATTATTGTATTCTTTAGCAATATTGCTTTAGATAAATACTTTTGTTTTAAATTATTATAAAGCATTTGATAACAATCCTCTCATATAATCCTGAACTGTACTTTGCATATTATAGAAAACAAGAGTTTTTGTAGTGTGCATATTTCACCTTTTTGACTCACTTCAGAAATATTATACATTACACTTATTCAGAAAAATAATTGTTTATTACTGTTCACCTACACTGATAATCAAATTATTCAGAGAACAGTTTGGTGAGTGCTCTTTATCTCTGCACTATAAAATGGGTTTGGATATATGCACCCTTTGCTCTACGTATGTTCATAGTTTAATGATGTTTTATAGCACCTCGTTGTGTCTGCTTGTCAGTGATCGCAGGGACACTTGCCAAAACCACCATATCTGGCTGAGCTGGTTTGCAAAGTTTCAGGTTTGGTTCTATGCAAATACGGATTACTTGCACATTAGAACGAACTATTTTGTTGGCAAACTTTCTTATTCCGAGTAAGGACTGTGAGAAGGAAGTTGCTGGATCAGTTCTACTATGAAAAGATAACCATATTTTTTACATTTTCAAGAAAAAATAATAGTTATAAAGTGAAGATACTGAACAAGTGTTTGCTCTTAAAAGATATTCTGGTGAACATATACTTAATAATAAACTTTACTTTGGACTTTTACAATTTATGTGTGCTATCCTGGCTTTATAAGGGGACAAAAAATTGCACAATTCATGCCAACATTCTCAGAAAAACATTCAGGTATTTCCACATCTATCATTTGCAAGGGTTGACCACAGAATCAGAGTTACTATGGTATGCAAAACTTTGGAGTTCTCTGTTAATGTATTTCTGGGAGGGACTCTTGAAAGGTGACATCATTTGTATAAGGATAAGTATAAGATGTATGGCTCCAGATCACTCTTTGGTGTAATTTGTCTGAAGATGTTACGGGGAAGGACTACCAAGTATCAGTTATTATTTTTGGCAGACATGTGATGTTTGTAACAAAAAATATTACATTTAAGGGCTGCACTGAAAGGAAAAAGAGTAAGCTACTAAAAATAAATTTAAAAAGGAAATGTTAAAATTAGCTGTAGGATGTAGGTTAGACATTAGTAATAAGTCAGTTTTGAAATTCAAATGGAAAAGGTAAAAAATACATAGATGACATTTTACGAATCATATAGGCAAAGAGTAGAGGACAGAACAGCACTTTGCTATGCTACTGTCCAAACCAAAAATTTTTAATACTTTGTACAACTTTGGTTCAATCATCTCCAAATGCTACAGAAAAAATAAAAAAGTTGAGATGAAGAAAAGAAAGTGGGGAAAGGTTTCAATACCAAGGCTAATTAAGTAAAGCAGTAGGGTCAGTGTGGCTGAAAATTCACCCACCCAGATGCAGACACGAAGTTGCAAATGGGTTACAAATACAGAAAAAAAGGAAGGTTGGTTTAAAATACATGGCATTGCCTCCTTACCTCCTTGCACATCTCAAACTCTCCAAGAATTCTTCAAATCCACTTTGGGAAACTGGTTTTCTTATGTGGTGATAAAGAGTAAGCTTTCAAGAGTACAAAATTTAAACCAAGTAACCTGCTTTAGACAAAAAAATTGTTTAAAAATTAACAGAATAGGGCTAATAGAGGTGACAAAGACTCAACACACACCATGGTAAAATGTTTGAAAGTCCTCCAGGGTCAGCATGCATTTGGTCTCTTAACCAGGGAATATGAACTTTGGAATGACTAAGCAGGATTAAAGAAGTCAGAATTTTAGGGAGAAAACCAGCAGCCACAGGTCGCTCAATGCTCCTTTTCACTACAGGCAAAAACAAGTATGGCAGTGTTCCGATCTGAGGGGCAGTCCAGCAGAATATTCATGTTCTTTAACGTGAGGCTGTCATCTGAAAAATAAATATGAAATTGATATTCAAGACAGGATTCTTGCATAGTGCAGGCATCATATCCTCAGCAGGAGTTGTATTACTCTCAAGTCTTGCTGTTAATGCACAGCACCACAGCACCAGAGTAGGATATACACCAGTATATCCTACTCTGGATATACTGGCATACATTTACCTATTTCTTACTGTTTTGACTGAACTATGTCCTAGCTAGCACACAATATATACACATAGTTTTACCAGTTGGTTTTTTTAGGTAAGGAAAGCTTATGCCTATCATGGGGAAATTATATTAATGGGATGTAATGAAGCCACTGAGGAAGTGTTCCATTCACCTGTGATCCTCAAAAATGAGGCCGTATGGGGGAGCCTACTGATTTAACCTATGTAATTTCAGGGTCTCTAAAGCAGTTGATGTGCTAACCCAGGAAGTTTAGCCAAATTACCAAAGTATTAACCTTGATACAGCTCCAGTAACCACATGAAGTCCTAAAAATAGTGGGTTTCTTGAAAATATTTACCAAATGGGGGGATTCCGTAGGGCTCCATCTTAGACCAGTGCTCTTCAGCATCTTCATAAATAACTGGGACATGGGACTAAGAAAGTTTGCAGATGACACAAAACAGGGAGGAGCTGCTGACTCCCTCGAGGGCAGGGAGACCCTGCAGAGAGACCTTGACAAATTAAAGGACTGGGCAATCACCGACCATATGAAGTTCAACAAGACAAAGGGCTGGATTCTGCACCTGGGATGAGGCAATACTCGATGTACCTACAGGATGGGGAATGAAATACTGGAAAACAGTGCCACAGAAAGGGACTTGGGGGTCCTGGTTGATGGAAAGTTGAATATGAGTCAGCAGTGCTCTGGCAGCCAGGAGGGCCAGCCATGTCCTGGGGGGCATCAGGCAAAGCATGGCCAGCAGGTTGAAGGAGGGTATTGTCCTGCTCTGCTCTGCACTGGGGCGGCCAAACAAGGGCAACAAAGATGGTGAAGGGCCTTGAGGGGAAGCTGTATTAGGTGTGGCTGAGATCACTTGGTCTGTTTAGCCTGGAGAAGACCTCATTTCAGTCAATAACTTCTTTGTGAGGGTAAGAGGAAGGGCAGGCACTGATCTCTTCTT